AGTCTGAGTTGTTCCCGGCTTTCCCACTTTCGAATTCTGCACTTTCTTGTTGTGCTTATTCAGCCCTCTCTGCTGATATATATTACCCAAGAAAGATCTAAAGACCACAGACACAAACAGCACGAACACAGTTTCTATCCAGTGGCACAACCTCACGTAGCTGTGCACTCCACTAGTGAGTTCCACTGTTTCAATTGCCGCATCCCACCCTTGTCGCCAATTTGGTTGCGAATGGGCTCGGGATTCGGCAATAATCACACAAAACAAGGTGGCTAAGGCAAGCCTTTATTCAGGTGAAAGCACATTAAAAAGCAAAGTATGGATAATTACTCTTGAGGTAATACTTGCCATCAGGATGCTGAGACTAAACATTCTCTCAAGTTGGCAGATTAGAGGGTTGCTGACAGGCTCCTAACTCGGTGGGCGTCCTCGCAAAGACAATGTAGACCTCCGTGTTAGGACTCTCGACCCACTCTTTCTGCACTGTTTTTTCATGCCCGGTGCATCCTTCCATGTAGGGCCAGTACATGCCAGCAGGCAGGCCGGGGGGCGGACAAGCTCCGCTTTCAGTCACGTAACTTTTCCCCCTGGGTGCACAGGTGCGCATACCAGTAAGGGGTCCCAGCCATCAGTCTGAGGGTCCTGCCTTCCTCATCTTCTTCCTCCCTCTCAGGTGTTTGACCTTCAAAGTAGTTTAGAGGATGTTTGCCATTAAGTTGGCTACAAGCCCGGTTGAGCAGCTGCCTTCAACTGCTTTCGGAGGAGGTCAGCTGTGAACCTGGCTGAGCAGCCGCCTCTGTGCTCTTATCGCTCAGCCCAGGCAGGCAAACATCTTCTTTCTCAAGGTCTGGAGTCTGTTTCGCACAATAGTTTTATGACTCTACAGATCATACAAATTTCCACCTCCTTTTTGAACAGATAACGTTTTCATAGCAGTTTCAACCATACCTCGTGTCAGCATCATTATACAAGGGATACAATACATAATACAGACGAACATAGCGAATAGAAATAATAGCTCTAATAATGGTTTCTGTCCTCACTTAAAGCATTACAATTCTCCAACGCCCACTTTAAAAGACGGATCAAATTCCCGGGCTGGATATCTTTACCCCTCCCAGATTTATCCAGGATATGCTGCATAACCTGCAGCTCCCTTTCATCCTCTTTGGTCATGGACCCTCCCACGGTTCTCGATAGCCTGACTCCTGCCTTGCAGATTTCTCTGCCCGTAGATAGAGCTTCTGAAGTTACTGGTTGTGCGCAAGACGTTCTCTCCTGTCCGTCCTGTCGTGCTTGCTCCACTGCACAATCTCCCCCGACCAAGACTGTGACCGAAACAGGCGAGAACATGACCGTTCCACTCGCTGACCACGGCTGACTCCCTTTGGGGCACGCGCCCTGCAAGTCCCAGTCCAGATCTTCTGGCAACGGGGGCACATCCTCCCCTGTCTCTTTCTCAGGCTGTACCATCGGGAATGGTGGTAAAGGCACCGCCGTTCCTCCCCCAGGGTCTTCTGTAGGGTTTCCGGCGGGGGGGCCGTGGGTTCCACCGGGGGGGGAGCCACAGGCCGTGTGGCCATGTCCGCAGCCGCTTGTGCCTCTCCTACGGCCTTGAAGTGCTCCAGAGTGTCTACCAGCAAGCGGCAGGGGGTCAGCGCCCCGGTGGCTGTTAAATCGCCCTTAGAGGCAGAGTCAAAAAGCACTTTGCCTGCAGCCTCCCATTCTTTCGGATTGAAAGCAGTCTGCACATCCCCCCACAAGCTTTTCCCTTTGCAGCACAGTAATAATGTTCTTAAAGCAGTTTTATCACACTTGCTTATATACCGCTTGCTTACTTACTTATCATACTATCTTACTTATCATACTTACTGACTTACATACTTACTTATCATACTGCTCTTTTCAGCAGCATGTGATCCCAAATGTTCACTATAGCATTTTCCTCCGTAGACGGGTTTGCTCACCTTGTACCTCACCTTGTCACAGTCCAGCTGCGATGCAACTGCCCTGGGCTCTTCGGCTCTTCCCGCCGGAATTCCTCGGCTCTCCTTGCTGGACCTCAGCTACCGGACTCTGTCCCCGCCGAACTCCCCTCGGCCCTTATTTACAATATTTACAAGATCATGTCAGGGGTCACCATTTGTCACTTTTGCTCCGCGACTAAGTCGGGACGGACAGAGATGCATGCTATACGTAAGCCTTTATTGATCAAGCAGGTACAGTACTTCAGACCCCACACTCGCACATGCACATGCGTGCACTCACTCCCCCTCCCGAGTCCTTCTTATATACTCTTCATCCTGATCATGGCTGCATGTTGATTCATGATTGGCTATTCCACTTAGTTCCTCTTCGCTGGCAACTTACATGTCTTCACTTCCTTTAAATTGTTTGCTTGCTGCAGTCCGGATCTTTCCAGCTGTTTCAAGGACATGGTAACTTGAGAAGATCCCAGCTCTCAGACAAGCTGAAGGCCGTCCGACCAGCATTCAGTCCCCACAAAGATTAAATTCTCTGTTCACTTGCTTTCGTAGAAATCTGGAATAATTCAGATCATTCTTTAGCTCTTCAGACCAGAAATCATCCCATACACACCATTGGAACTGAGGTTTTGGGTGAGCCTTAGGATTCAGGAAAGAAAAAACTTGGCTTCGCTGTGTCAACTACTATAAACCCAAAACTGAGTCTGTCAGTGCTTATGGACTGGACACGTCTGCTTGTCCATATCTTCTGTGCCTGTCTCTGTTTGTTTTGTCGAAGTCTTAAGGATGATTTTGGGCACACAAATTGTCTGGGCTTCTTTCTGGAAAAGGTCAATAATGTGTCTGTTATGGGATTTCCAAACCTTTAAGTAATGGATACCCGCCTTTTGGAAGTGAAATAGGCAGAGCAAGCTCAGAGTAAACCTGCAGCCATGCTCTACACTGTGGCCTAACCCACTGATAATGGGATGGACATAACCAATATAGAACTACTCTGTATTTTGAGTGACATAAAAGACACCAGAATGTGGTTGAAACTAGGGAAAGGCAAGGTCACTTATTAGTTACTGCATGGAGGTTCAAGATATACACAGAATTATCAAGGACACCCTCCCGTTGGGTCACGAGGTTCAGACTGGACCCCCTTGCTTTCCAAACTCCTCCTGAGAGGAGTCTGGGTGCAGCTGAATCCAGTCCTAGTCCCAGACCTGGTCAACGGTTTATGTCTAAGGGGTTTGTGCACAGTTACAAAGTAAGGTTTACAAATTCAAAAAGAGAAAGGCGCGCTATAGTCACCACGAATCTGTAGTGGGAAGGCTCTCTTAACCTCAAGGAGTATCCTTGAGAGGCATCTCTGCTCAAGGGGAGATCCCAGCGTGCAGCCCGCTGCCATGCAAGGAGAGCTCTTGGGCTGTCTCGGTATTTATAGGATAAGATGATTGACTGATAGTCATGCTTTCAATTCAGAAATGACTGTTGGCTAATGTACTCACAGTTGGCCTTATCTCCCCATCAGGATAGGGCCATCAGGACTGTTATTGATGGTTAATGTCTGGGTGAGGAAAGAAATCAGGATCAGATAATGTGGTAATTAACACCTGAACAGGGCTACCTGTGAGAAGTCAGGATGAGGTGGGGAAGGAGCATATCCATCACACACTCACCTATTCATGTTAAGCAATTGGAGATTTGGATGTCTGGTGTAGGTAACAATATTGCAAAGGTTCAGTTACTGCATGAAGACACATACGCTGCCCCTGAACAAATGGCCAGGTACTGTATGAAGTGATTTTCTGTACCATGTCTAACACCTCGCTTCTGCTTTTGTTATGTCTCTAGTGTTAGTATAGACAAAGTATAGCTACAAATTCTTCCATTGGAACCACTTCCGGATTTTCTTTTTAAAATGCAAGGAAATTACTTTATTAAAAATTCTGGAGTGGGGAATTTTTTATTTTGTGTAATGAAGCTTCTGTGTGAATGGTGGTCTTGGTGTATAAAAGAATACAACTAATTTGCAGTTTCCTTAATGTGAAGCCTTAAGAAGGATGCATGGAGAAGAAAGAAAATCTTTATTTTAAGCTCACTTGAACTTCTGGTGTGTATTAATGATTTATACTGCTGGATTTAGTGAAGACAAAGAACAAATCACACACAGCCTCATCAACATCTAAACATGGCTAGAAAAAGTGAAATCCTTGTCTTGTTATCTATACAGTGAATGCTAATGCCTTTACATGGTCACTGCTTGACCCGTATATTTTTGTGTCCTGATAACTCTATCAGCCTGGAAGCTAATTTTGTGCTTTTTTTTCTTATGAAATCTTTCAGTGGTGTTACCAGGGGGAGTGTGTACCTTTTGGCACTTGGCCCCAGAGCATAGACGGAGACTGGGGTCCATGGTCAATCTGGGGAGAGTGCAGCAGGACCTGTGGGGGAGGCGTCTCCTCGTCTATAAGACACTGTGACAGTCCAGCGTAAGTAGCTAAAGTAAGCCAGAGTCAACAAAAAGACACACTTGGAATTTGTTCAAAACTGTAGTTTCATATGTTATCTGTAAAAAATGTTTTGCTAGCGTACCAACATTTGTCTTTAATATAGCAGACAGAAACAGCTACACAAGAGGAGCTTACTAGATATGTATTTTTTACTGTAACTATTATGCATGCACTGTAAAGATAGATTTGTATTTGGTAGTAACCAGACAAGTTTTCTTTCTGAAGCTTATCGTTCATGCAAAAGATACTTAAATTATGCCTTAGATTTCTTACTACTTAAAATATGTTTTGCCTATGATGCTTGTCTAGGATATAATTTATTGCCAGTTATATATTGAAAAAGCTACAGAGTATTTGAAAGATATTGACATACAGCGTTTTACATATAAAATGCAAGTAATAATATTTGTGTGCATACAATACATTTATGCCCTATCATATCCAACACTTAGTTGTGACTTCCCACTGACTCTTAAAACAATTCAGCTACTTCTTTCTCTGCTACTACTTCTTGGTCCATCTGCTTTCAAGTGGGTCCAGCTTCTCCACTACAACTTGGTCTGTTTTGTGTATCTGTACTGGTCCTGTCATCTCTGTCTGCTTCTCAATGTCCTCAACAGTGTTCCAGAGAAGGTCTCAGGTAAGTACTCTCTGTCATTAACATGTTTCAAATCAGAAACATGTATTTATTTCCTTTCTGTCCTTTGCTGAATGAATAACTGCTTTTTTTTTTTTCTTTTTCTGTTGCTGCTTGCTTCTGCCCTTTGGTAAATAAATAACTGTTTTTTTTTTTTTTTTTTTTCTTTTTCTGTTGCTGCTTGGCCTGTACAGGTTACCTCATCACAGCTATAGGTCTTTGCCGATTATTAATTTCAAAAATTGCTTTCCTCCAAAACATCAGGCTTTTTTTTTTTTCTGTTTCTTCCCTCATAATCCTTCTGCAACTTCTGTCACTCCTTCCTTACCTTTTTCTCACTGTGTGCTAACTAGTATTCTTTGTACATTGAGGATTTTTGTTGCTTGGAGCCATGTTTTCTAAGTCAGACTTGCACTTCACTCTGCTGTACAGACATTGCTGTTTAAGGTGCTCTGTGTATGTACTAGCATTTAGCAATAACTACCAATCAAATCTGGCAAATACCACTAATTATTGAATGCATTCAAAAACAAAAATTATCCATATGCATAGATAATATGGCAGACTGTGTTGCTGAGAGAGAATAGTAAATTAAATACTACTCTTTTTCACACCAATAGAAGGAGCACAAATACTAGTTAAAAGTCTGAAGCATCAATAACTTCCTAGGATTTTTAACTGTTCCTGTCTCTGTACTTCAATGGTTATGTTGAAAGATAATTGGATCTTAGATGCTTTACAGTGCAGCAAGCAAGTGCAATATTTTTTTTATGTCTCTGTAAGGAAAATATTCCCCTCAGTTTATTAATTTATATGAGTATTTTAGGTTAATGTTGTATGTCAGTATCTGTAACATGCAAAATCATTCTGATTTTCATTTTGGCCAATTATACATTTTTTAATACTTTACTATAAAGCAAAACAACAAGTATTTTTCCTTCCTGCTTTCATGTTATGATCAAAGAACTGATATATGGTTAATCTTCTATTTAAGTCAATGATAATTCATTATTTGACCTCTTTGGAAGGAAGATAGATAAGATTCTTGAAGATTCTGGGACCTTTGAGAGCGATTTTTGGCTTAATCACACTAATAGAAACCTGCTTAGTCTGGAGTTGCTTCAGATTTAATCATGCATAATTTAAACCAGAATCATATTCTCGAACTAGAAAATGCAGTCTTTGCTACTGACTCCAGCAATTTAGCAGGCAGTGTTTCTGCATTTTGTTGTATTTTCAAGTGTAATATGAGAAGATTAAAAAAAAAAGATTGTTTACATATGTTTAATTCTAGTTTAATAGAGCTAGAAAGTAATTAAAAGCAATACATTTTTGGTACATTTGAAAAGTAATTTGATTTTATAATTTGGAATTTATTCAAATTGGATAAGTAGTTTTTGTGTGTGTGTGTGTATATATATATAAAAAATGAGCAAAGATATTCAAATGTTCAAATGTACAAAGTTGTAAGGTTTTCAATTCAAGTCAATTCTAAAATACTCATTTAATAAAATGTATGAAAATCTCACCTTGAAACATTCTATGGAAGTTTTATACACTTATTGTACATGTGTCCATATTTATTTTTATTTGTATGTTATGTAATGTATATCTTGTGAATTTGTATCTATATTAATGATTATATAAACACATGTAATGAACTTGTGTTTTTACTAATATAACACATAAAACATGTTTTTGCAGGCCTTCAGGAGGAGGAAAATATTGTCTTGGCGAAAGGAAACGATATCGCTCCTGTAATACTGATGTAAGTAAATTTTGTTTCACTATCAAAGTATAATCAAATTTTCTGGTTTTCTTTTTGCCATCAGTGGATGCATTCCAGTTAGAAAAAGGATTGATGAAAACTGTGAATTTTGCATTTTACTGGCAAATCGTCCTGTTGGACACCTCTATACTGCAGGCTCCCTACATGTTGCTGCATGTCAGGGTCCCCATCTCAATATTATGCCCAACTGCAGGCTTTACATTAAGGCCTAGAATGAGTTCAACTTTGGCATCCATGTTTAAGGTGATCGTATGTGTTCCCATGCCCCATCGGACC